TCAACATTAATCGCAGAGCAGGCAGAAAGAAGGGAAAGCACCTGAGGAAACAATCATGCCTGAGGAATATTGGAAATACATAGATCAGCACCTCGCAGAGCTGCTGAGTCCACACGACTGCCATACGTGTCAGGGGCCGTCTTGGGTGCTCACCATGGGTAAAAGCCATGCCATTAAACTCAGCCGTGAATTTGTATGTGGCCTTTCATTTCCAGGTCTCCGTCACTCCAGGGCTTTCAAGCACTCGGCAGTCTCCATTCTCCCCTGTAATCCTACAGAAGGAAACCTTCATCATCTCAGCTCAGGGGAAATGGCATGGGGCACTACTGCCTCCAGGTACATGGAGACACAAGGATACAGACGGGGCCTGGGGTCCCCTGTAGGAATGACTGGGAGGGAGGCATGAGAGAGCGCTCTGTTTTTAATAGTACATCAGAAAAGGGCTGGAGAGATTTGTGGGCTGATATTCTGACCAAACTGGTGTTTCTTCTCTGCTTGTTGTCACTGGAGAGTTTGAGAATCCAGATAAAAATGAGGAATGGGCCCATAAGGCTCAGCTTGGTGATATATATGCTCCCATAAGGGAACTGTTTCTGCTTCCATCATTCTACCATAGAAGAAAAAACGACGGGATTTGTGGGCTGATATTCTGTTTCTGCACTGTAGAAAACACAGTATTATCACTCATGGAGCCAGAGCTGAAAAGGACCAGGGGCTCTATATGAGAGACAAGTGCAAACACCCATCTGGGGTAGGAGGAAAGCCCAGGGCACACAGACATGCTCCAGGGCTGATTTACATCTGTGCACTTCAGTAGCAATTTAGTCATGCTGGGCGCGGGGCTCTGCACAGGAGGAAATTTCACCAGCACATCTACAAATAAGGAACGGAGGGTAAAAAAACCCAGGAGGCAAATATTATACTGCAGAGGAAGTTTAATGCACAGAAGAAATTGAGAATACAGAAACAGAAGGGATTCAGAGGAGAGAGCAAATATTCCCAAGGTTTTCCAAAGGGCCACAGCCGGGATTATACGCCTGTTGTCACCAAACATCTTCTACACACCTGTGGCTGTGTCAAGTGGTCTGCAATGCATTACAAGTGGACTGTAAGGAGGCAGAGGCATCCATTTAAATGACAGCACAGCATGAAGAGACGTAAATGCTTAACAGTGCAGAGAATACAAAGTTCCTAGAGTAAGAAGCAAAGTGTAGGAGACAGGAGAATGGGGGAGGGAGTCTTGTAGCAATGCCGAGCCCTCACACTGGAGGTGCTGAGTGCTTAGCACTGCTCCAAGCCATGTCCTCCGGGTCAGCCGTGAATCTGTATCTTGCTCTTCATGTCCGTGTTGCTCCCAGTGCCGTGGATATCCGAGCTGGATTTAGCATGGACGGAACTTTCCATGTCCGCCCAAACCACCCCAACAGGGGCAACAGCACAATCCCTTCCAAAGTAGCTTTCCAGTGCATGGATCATAGCAACAACAATAACATAGCCTTTTCGGGCAGGGTGGAAAACAGCAATTTGGACCCTGGAAGCAGAGGTCTTCCAACATGCCAAGGCTGTCAGACATCTTGCTGTGCTGGAGGCGAACCTGAAACAGAGCAGGGAGCAGAGGAAACATGACGCATTTGCAGTGCTGATTGATCAAAGGGGCCTAACCTTGGTGTGAGTCTCAGGGCAATCTGGCAGGGACCCGGAGACTAGGGGATGGAGCAGGGAAATGCTGACCTGAGCCCTCCTTTGTCCCGGTGTCGCAGGTCTCCTTTCCTCCACCTCCTTGCTCTCCTCTACTTCCCCTCAGCCTCTCCCCCCCGACAACAGCTTTGAAGCCTTCTCGCTTTCTTTGCCTTAGAAATGCTGCCTGGAAAGCAGGCTCCAGGCCCCTGTGGGGCAGCTGCAGCAGGAGTGGGGCAGGGAGCCTTTAGTCCAGGCCTAGGCAGCCCCTGGCCTGAAGGCGCAGGCACAGTCCTGGGACGTGGGGAATGTGCATTCACTTCAGCACCCAGAACCCAAGTCTTCCTCTTTCTGTCTCCTGCCACTGGGATCTGGGGGCGCAGGTGGATTGCACCTCTGACACTTGTTGCACTGCAGGAAGGATTCAGCCTTCCAGGCAGTTGGCAGTTCTGGATCCCACAATCCCAGGAAATGTCAGGGCTGCAGGGAATCACCCCAGATGGGGAGAGAGGTGGGATTTTGGATATTGCTTTCTCTTTTCTGGGCTTTGCGGTGGCTGAACTTGCTGCCTGGTTTGAATTGGAGGAGCTTGAGTCTCTGCTTTTGAGCTAAGAGGGTGGGTGCTGGACATTTCATTCAGGATTTGGATTGTCACTCCTGACTCTGCACACCTCCACTTTGCACAAGACATGGCACAGCATCACTTCAACTGGGTCCCTCTTTCACTCTGGCCATTAGTGCCCCAAATGCCCTGGACATGCCAACCTCACCAGCGGTGAGCCCCTAATTCCTGCCACCCGCCAGCTGCAATATTAAACCCAAAACAAACAAAAGACCCTGAGCAATGCTGAAAACCAAGGAACGGCCAAGTGCAAGATCAGTTTTGAAATTACAGCTGAAAGAGAGATACTTGGAAGAGATGAAGCTGAATTGGACTTACCTGGCTCACCGAAGAGAGAAGTCAAGAAGTGATTAAATCCTCCTCATCTGTGCGACCTTTTATACAGTTCTCCGACCTCAGGGAGCGTTTGCGGCATCTTCTGTAGCTGAGGTCCTTGTTAGTGACAAAACGTGCGTGTGTCGTGTGCGCCAGCCTGCCCAATACTATAATTGTTTTGCTCCGTGTTTGTAATTATTGTGTTTTTTTATTTCAGCTGAGGACTGGGAAATTACACCCCAGCCCCAGGTGTCTCCTAAATTAAAAGTTTATGGGTCAACCTTCTTCCTGGTCTTCCTCTATAGACTTCATTGGAGTTGGATGATTTGATGGCCGTCTGCAAGGTACTCAGAGCAGTCGACAGTGGGACCATTTGCTCTCCTCTATATGAATCCAGTTTGGTCCATACTCTTATGTGGTGGGGAGCGGGGTGTTTCTGAAACTCAAAGAGGAGAAGGAGCCGTTGTTTAGTATGCTCAGGTGCACACCTGAAATGTTCTTATGTCAATTAGAGATTTATTTCTTCATTAATCTCCACTGGTTTCAGCAATGCAGCAACAGCAGGGTGCACGGCAGAAGCCTATTGCTGCGATGCTTGCCGGTGATGGCAGGGCATGGTTGTAGGAGAACAGAAAGCATGGGCTCTTACGAAAGGTCTGAGTAATAGCTTTGAAGCTGTATGAGATGAACATCCTCGACTTTTTCCACATCAAACTAAGGCAGTGGTTGGCAAGCTCATATGTTCCAAATGGAAAACCTGGGAAGATACACCAATGAGAGACAAAGAAACCCCGTTCCTGCTCATCTGGGAGCTGCAGAGGCAGGGTCAGGGGAGAGAACAGTGTGGCTACGTTCTGCTTCATATTCTTCTCCTTAGCATGCCCTCTGCCACTGGAAGACACCTGCGCCCTTCTGCATGGACCCAGGACCTGTGCCCTGTGGCATTTCTTGTGTTCTTACTGAGGTGAAATGTGCTGACATGACTGAGCTAATGTGAACCCTGCCCAGACTTGGTGTGTGGTGGGAGCCACATTTTGCAAAGAGCTTCCCACCCTTTTACAGAACAAGTCTCCTACAAGTCTCTCTCTCTCTCTCTCTTTCAAGTGCCCTAGAAGTTGTTGGCTGTTGTGAGTGCTACCACGCGCAGATCTGGCCGGTAAAGTTTGAAATAAAGTTGTTTACACAAGAGAGAGAAATAGGGCACTGCTTTTCAAATACCATCTTAAAGGCCCCAATTTTCAAGCGTATAATACCACGTGATCTAACTAAAGCTTAAAAATGAGAGAGCTTGATTTCCAAATTTAAAATGTCTCTTTTGCCACCTACAAGGTTTTCGTCCTGGAGGAAAGTATGAACTCTGTAGTAACGTAACTATTTGCCCCTCGTAGAGCTGTAAGGATTGATCTGAAGTGCTTTGATTTCCTAAATTCTGAGAGCATTATAACATCCACTGTGTCTGTTATTAACCTAATTATCTGTGAAAGTTAGTACTGGTGTTTTGAGATTAAGGTCACATAATTGCCAGTAAAAGAGTTAATAAACCCAATAATCCAGACTGCTGTGTGTGCAACGTGCAACCGACTGTGCAAGGCATCTCTCTCTCTCTCAGCAGCCTCCATTCTCCCTTGTAATCAAACAGGAGGAAACCTGGAGATCAGATTTGGGGAAACGGGGAAATGGAATAGAGGACTACTGCCTCCGAATACATGCAGCAGGCCTGCGACTCCTCCTCCGTCACGGAGACTTGTTTAAACACTGGGACTGCAGAGCAGTTCTCTTTAGGATTAAATTATCACAATTACAACATGCTTTGGAGCAGAGCAGATTAAGAGGCTGGAGTGACTGGGAGGGAGACACGGGGCTGCTCTCTGTTCAGTGTTATCAGTCATGGAGCCACTGCTGAAAAGGACCAAGTGCCCTGTTTGAGAGAGAATAGCAAAGACCCCATCTGGGCTAGGAGGAAAGACCGGGGCACACAGACATGCTCCAGGGCTGGTCTTCTTCTCTGTGCAGCACTTCAGTGGGAACTGAGTCATGCTGGGTGCGGAGCTCTGCACAGGAGGGAATTTTAGCAGCACGTTTGCAAATAAGGAATGGAGGGGGAAAAACCCCAGGAGGCAAATATTATGCTGCACAGGAAACTTAATGCACAGAAGAAACGGAGTATACCGAGACTGAAGGGATACAGGGCAGAGGGCAAATATTCCCAAGGTTTTCCAGTCGGCCACAACCGGGATTATACACGTGACCCATTTTCAAGGTGTGCTCCTCTCTTTCAGCTGCTGACTTTTAATACCAAGCTGTTTCCATCTATTTAGTGACTACTTTTTCCCCCTGAATAACGTCACAAGAGGCGAAGCACAATGTTAGGAAGGAAATAAATAGCTTCTCCATGATGCAGTTTGTGCAGGCAAGTTTCTAGTTAGAAGCAAAGGATAAAAGCGCTTCTCTTTCCTGTTGACCCCCCAACCCTTTTAGACCCATTTGCAATGTCAAGTGGTCTGCAGTGGAGTGCAAGTGGAGTCCAGGGTGGCAGAGGCTTTCTTTGAAATGACTGTAAAGTCCGAGGAGGAAGAGAACAGTTTGGTTACCTCTTTCTTAAATATTCGTCTCCTTTACATGCCCTCACCTCTTTAACACTACTGCGACCTTCACGATGGACCTATGATCTGTCCCGTGTGCCATTTCTTGTACCTTATGGAGGTGAAGTGGGGATGAATAGTGGAGAAATACCAATACCACCAAGATTCAGTGCTATTCACGCTGAAGTGCGCTGAGTTGACTGAGCTAATCTGAACCCTGAGCAGACTTGGAGTGTGGTAGGAGCCATGTTTTGGAAATAGCTTCCCAGCCTTTTACAGAACAACACCCCAACAAAGTTCTCATTTAATTTGAGAAAGGAGAAGCATCTTTCCCTCTTTCAAATGCCCTAGAAATGTATTACCAGATTAAGTGACACCACCAGTAGATCCGGCCCATGGAATCATATCACAAAAGTGCGAAAAAGCTGCTACTGCTTTTTCAATGCAAATTGAAGGCCCCCATATTCCAGGAGTATTACTCATCACCTAATCAGGGCTTAAAAACAAGGGAGGTCTATTAGCATTTTTAAAGGGGCTGTCTTGCTACATACATTGATGTCTTCCAGTAGGAAATTATGAACTTTGGAATAATGTCATGATTACTACCCTGTCACAGCTTTAATGACAGTTAGTGAAGTGCTTCTATTTTCTAAATTCTGGGAATATTAGAATATCCACCGTGTCAGTGATTAGCCCGAGGGTCAGTGAAACTAAGCTGTGACAGGGTGAGATGAAGTCATGTTCTTGCTAGTAAAGTAGTTAATAAATTTGATCATTCTGACTCCCACCCGTGAACCTGCAACCACGTGCAGCCTGTGAGATTGTATTGCAAGATAAGTTTATGCTATGTGCTATTAAATAAGGTTTGGCATTTTGGACTCCTAAATATGTCATGGATAAGAGTATAATTATTTTCAAGCCACGTCCATGTTTGGCTTTCATGTCTCTTGTTTTTTTGGGTCAAGCTTCTCCTGGACCATCTTATGAAGTAAAGGATGAGGAAGCACATCATGTGGCCATCTTCTTTCACTTCACCTACTTTGTGCAGGAAAAGCAAAATACCGCCGGGGAAAAAGCAAGCGTGAAAATGAACTCGCTGCTGGTGAGATGTCACCTTGACAAGTTCAGTACAAAGTGGAAAGCTTCTTTATAAGATGCTACAGGTTGCTCAAATGAAAAAAAAAACTCTACTTGGATGGAGATGAAGTGTATAGAGTGCAATATGAGGATGTTGGGCTTGCCAGAAGAGGGGCCGGGGAAAGTGAAAACCCTTCTCTAAGGTACAACCCAGCATCTGAGTGACTCTGAACACTTTCTGAGTGTGTGTTGGGAGCTCTGGGACACTCCTCCCCCTTCCTTGCAGTTCTTTGGGTCTTTGTGTCACGATTATAGACAAAATAGTTTTATGGAAATATTCTCAAAGATTTAAATGTTAAAATGTGTAGAATGGGACCGAACATGTGGCCACAAGCAGAGGGAGTAGGTCATCACATCCCTGATTTTGGCCAACAAGCCTCAGACGTGGCAGGCACCTTTGCCCTCGAGGTCCCAGTGGTAGGAGACAGAAAGTGGAAGACTTGGGTTCTGGAGCCTACTTTTCATCCAGCCTTTTGCAGCCAAAGAAAGTGAGAGGCTGAGGGCAAGTGCAGCAAAGAGACGAGGGGGAGGAAAGGAGAGCACTGACAATGACAGATATGTCCCCTCCATTTCCCGGTCCCTGGGTCCGTACCAGATGTCCCAGAGAGTTGCACACAAGTTTTGAGCCTTGATCCCATCAGTACTGCAGAAGTGTCATGTTTCCTCTACTCCCTGATGCATTTCAAGTGTGCCTCCAGCACACCAAGATGTTTGACAGCCTGGACACGATCGAAGACCTGTCTTACCAGGGTCAGTCTGGCTGTTTTCCCCACTACTGTAGAAGGCCAACATATACATGTTGTTCCTATGACCAATGCGGAAGGCTGGTGGGCACTAACACCCTCACTGCCTGAACGGAGGCACCTCAGCGAACTGCAAGGCAGGTGTAAAAGCTCTTGAGCTGGGTGGGAGTGCAGAACTGCCCCCTCCTTTAGCATTTCTCTCAGTGATTACTAAGTGCTCGTGGGCTGCCTAGATGGTCCCCAGAGGGGTGCCTATCATCTCCCCATTCTCTGCACACAGAGCCAAGGCACCCAACGCTAAACCCCTCTTCACAGGCACCAGTGTCTCCTCATTGTCTGCAGAAAGATCCTAAACCCATTCACAGGGAACCACTCTCCTCGGATAAAGATCCTAAGGTTTCAGCGATTGCATCGCTTTGCGTTAGAAAAGGGGAACGACTACATATGCATTAATGTGCTTTAATTAGTGTGCATTACATTTAGTACCTGCAGTGTAAATTGAGCCATGCTGGGTGCGGGCCTCTGTGCAGGAAAGTTTCACAGGCACTTTTGGAAATAAGGAATGGAAGTGAGAAAAAGTCCAGGAGGGAAATATCATGCTACAGAGTAATTTGAATGCAGTGAAGAACTTGAATATACAGACACAGAAGGGATCCTGGGGAGAGAGCAAATACTCTCCAGGATTTCCAAAGGGCCACAACCGGGTTTCTGGTCCTGGCCCATTTGTACAAGGTGTGCCTTTTCTTCGCAACTCCTGACTTTTAATTCTAAGCTTTTTCCATCGATTTCTTTACTACTTTTTGTGCGAGCCGGCACACGATCTCGGGGGCG